GAGACGGCTTAAATGGGTAATGAAGAAAAACTTTAATATAAGTTTAACATGACAGCAAATGTACAACGTTTCGACAAGGTTTTGTCATCATTAGATACATTGTTGTTGTTGTTGCCAGTTGAACGAAGAGTTACATAACCACTAGATACATTGTTGTTGTTGTTGCCAGTTAAAAGAAGAGTTACATAACCATTAGATACATTGTTATTGTTGCCAGTTGAACGAATAGTTACATAACCACTAGATACATTAATAATGGCTGGAGACGGCTTAAATGGGTAATGAAGAAAAACTTTAATATAAGTTTAACATGACAGCAAATGTACAACGTTTCGACAAGGTTTTGTCATCATATAATGATGACAAAACCTTGTCGAAACGTTGTACATTTGCTGTCATGTTAAACTTATATTAAAGTTTTTCTTCATTACCCATTTAAGCCGTCTCCAGCCATTATTAGTCTCAAAGTGGGTTCCTCGTCATCGAAAATAATTTTTGATCGTTGAGTTACATACTTTACTATTGAGATTCGAAGACCAGGTGACCATAATAATCAAATTAAACAGTTCAATGAGTGGACGCATATTATTATTATTCTTTTCAGTTTGTTTCATCTGCTATCTGTGACCTGTCTCAGTTTACTAGTAAAAAGGTGCTGTGGCCTTAGAAAGAACGTCCGTTAATGTATTTTAAAGGCATATATAAATAAATATATATATAACATGTGCTAACTATTTAGAACTATCATACAGTAAAGACAACTAAGACAGTATATGCATGACACTATTTTTTAACGTTTATCAGTTATAGAAAAACACTAATTTTCCAATCTTACTTGAACCACAACAACAATTACTTCACAAAGCAATTACCACGCATGAAAGTATTTTCTCCAAACTTCATAAGTCATAGCCACAGTTATTAATTGTTACATACATTTTACATTTACTAGACCTGTACACAAAAATGTATTGTTACGTCTCCGTTCGTTAGTTAATTTTCCGTAAATTCGTTCCAACGAAACTTTAGCGACACAAGTCTTTTCTTAAATAAAACTGGTTTATTCTTTCTGAATATAACTTTGCGATACACTTAATTTCAACAGTCGCGCTAAGATTCTCAACGAACGTCTCACGTGCTCGACTTCAACAATACTTTGTTCAATTACACACACCCTGACTGCAGTTCAATTACTCATTATCTCCCCGTCGCTTCGTGTCCGGTCTTATAAACACAAGACAACACTATCTAGAAAGATCACGCGATTTAAGGAAAAGACGTGAAAGTTCGAGAATGACATGATACTAGTCACGTGACCTCGATGTCGTAACAGTATTATTGCAATTCTTATAACATAGCAACAGTTATCAAATGTAAACTCGTTTTCAAGATATATTAGTCTTGCACTCTGAGTCAGGTGTGGCTAAGTGGTTAGCGTGCCGAACCGTGAATCCCGTTGTCGCATAAACGCGATTTTCGCTTTGGGGCCATATAAACGTTATAGAAGTGACGGTTAAACAACTATTCGATTAGAGTATCCCAAGAATTGACGGTGGATGCTGTCTGACTAACTGCCTTCCCCATAATTCAGTCCAAATTTAAGAATGTCAATTTCAGATAGTTCCCGTGTAGCTTTGCGCGAATTTTCGAAACTAACCCACCGTTTATGTCCCTTCCCGACCCACGCATCGTTCCAATACTTATAACATAGCCTCAGTTATTAAATATGAAACATTTACTAACGTTTATCAGTTCTATTCCAATAGATATTATCGAATAATGCTTATACCATGGCAACATTTATTAAACATAATATAGCTTTTTCTGACACTAGTTTTATATTAAAGTCTTTTACAATATACAGACCAACAACTGCCGGATATGACACATTCTTTGACATTCACCGCTCCTATGTCATACCAACAATTATTGCATGTGACACACATTCTCTGACATTCACCATGCCCATATAAAACCAATTACTAGAGATGACATATTTTTAAATATTTACCAATTATAGAATAATCTTCAGACATGCTAATGTCCAGAAATATATTACTAAACATGTGTCAATAATTATTAGACAAGATACACGTATTACGACAGTTGCGAGTCTTGTATAAACTAATTCCTTCCATTACCCAATTAATACACACATACATCAAATTTGACAGTCGAATGACATTAGAGCTACGAACGTTAAGATCTCTTTCTGTTCAACTGTGTGCGTTTGAAACCGCAAACACGATTTAAAACATGTATATACAAATTCGCCATAGGGACAGGCATTATACAACGTATTACCCACTTAATCTTTTCGACATTTGTCACAAGACTATCTGTACTGGATAAAACAGTACACCCTATCTTTTAACTAATGACATTGGATACCATCATAGTGTTTTTCTTTCTTTCTTTTTTAAATATACGACCACGTGATACAGCGTTCAGTAAGTCAGTGTCTGACAATAATAACTGAGTTTAAAAAGACGTACAGAAACGTCTTATATATTTATGTACAAACTCAAAACTTATTTATCCTATTCATGCATAATTTAATAAACACCCTTTCGAAATGAAAACTTTATGTCAATAACTAATAGTAGATGAAAAATCTGGCTTTAGGCTGTTGTGGTATTCGTAAAGTTAGACTAAAAACATTCTAGTTATTATTTTTATAGAAAAGGTAATTTAGTGATGGGTTACAAATGTTGCACTTTGAAGACGTTCCAGGAATTGAAATCTCACGTGATATTTTGTAAGTAAAAACAAAAAGCGACGTGTAAAACGAAGGTGAAAATAAAACCAAGTTTCGAGAAGTAATTGTTAAAAGTTGAAAAAGTATTTTATAACATAAATAGTCCTGTTTTTGTATATTATCTTACTTATCTCTTTATTTGTATTAAAGTTTGAGAAAATGTTTGTTGGTTTTTGTTTTGTTTTTTAGCTCAAAGCTACACAATGGGCTATCTGCTCTCTGTCCTCCACTGGAAACTGAACCCTGGATTTTGGCGTCGTTAAGTCCGTAAACTTACCGCTAACCCACGGAGGGACGTTTGAGAAAAACTGTATCAAAGTGGGCATTTGTAATACATGGAATCACTCTAATGTAAATGACTAAAAGTCACCCCAAATCAGCCAAAACTATCTAAAACCCCACCTGCAAATCTATTATCATTTCAATGACAGACAAATGTTAGGTTACAAACGCTTACTGGTCTTTGCTTTAAACTTAATTAGACATGTAAAAATAAAATTGACTTTTCAAAGATTAATTTTTGGGTGATTCCACGTTTTACAAATACCCTTCGCAAAATCATAAAAGACCTCTTTTAAGACCAGTTAAAAATGTATGTTATGCCACAGATTTTAGGATAAATCAGAAATCAAAATGTGACTTGCCACATCACATTTTCAAAACACACTTAATTTCAATACGCTACAGTAAATTCTACTAATAAAAATTTTTAAATTACACGAGATTTTAATTATAATAGTGATTCTAAAGGTGATTTCATCCACTTCTGTATCACATCCTTACCAACTGATATTTATGTACCGATTTTCATGCAATTGTTGTGACTGAAACCGGAAAGTCACCAATAAAATGTGAAGTTGTCGCTTCATACATATTACTTATTAGGAGTTCATTTTTCTGCCTTTGGTATTATAATCAATCTAACGGACTTGTTGTGAACTTCCTGTTAAATATATACACACACACAC